CCTTGTGTAACAGACAATAAATCGTTCTTTAACGTATCTAACGTTAAAGTTCAATTACTCACTATCTACACACATATTATTCCCCATCACGTTGTCACTCTCTTTTATATACCAGTCTACCCTATATCTAGTAAATACTAGAGCATTCGCCAAGGTACAGGATAGTTCTAGAAAATAGGTGGCGCCACACCAGTCACGTGACCTCGATGACGCAACAGTATCATATTTAGTTTAGTTTTTGTTGTTTTGTTTTATTTTATTTAGACAAATAAATACAATACCAAACAATAATAATAATACTTTTAACGCACTGATATCTTTGATTTTATTTCAAATACTTTCTTTCCAGGTATATATTTCAGTAAAAAAAAAAAAACTAATTCAGATTAGAAACCAATCAGAGATTTAATAATTTTGAAATGTGACACATTACAGAGGATGAATGTTGTGTAAAATAGTGGAATAACCCCAAATTCCCATCATGCATTGCAACCTCAGCTATAACAAATTGAGCAGAGCTAAGAGCAGTCATGTCGTGTGATAAAAATTAAAAAATCAACCATCCGTTAGGTACGTGCTGTCACTGATGATACCACTCTATGACAATCAACACTAAGATACAATGAACGCAGTCAGTTAAATATCTTGAGCAGTGCGTCTCTCAAAATGACCCCCCTGTAAATGAAGTGTCCCGTGCATGAGTTGATTTTTAAATTTTTATCACAGGACATGACTCCTCCAATAAAATTCAATTTTGGCAGATATTTTGGTTCTCCTAGCTCTGCTCAACTTGTTATAGCTGAGGTTGCAATGCATGATGGGAATTTGGGGTTATTCCATTATTTTACACTACATTCATCCTCTGTAATGTGTTACATTTCAAAATTATTAAATCTCTGATTGGTTTCTAATCTGAATAGTTTTTTTTTTACTGAAATATATACCTGGAAAGAAAGTATTTGAAATAAAATCAAAGATGTCAGTGCGTTAAAAGTATTATTATTATTGTTTGGTATTGTATTTATTTGTCTAAATAAAACAAAACAAAACTAAACTAAATATGATACTGTTACGTCTCCGTTTGTTAATTAATTTTCCGTAATTTCGTTCCGACGAAACTTTAACGACACAAGTCT